TAAAAGGACAACATTCTTGTTTCCAGATGCACATGCAGCTGCTGTGTTCACTCTCCTCAGAGTATGATGGCTCCTCCTCCAGGAACCACTGGGAAGACCGTGGGGTTGTTTGATGGGCCACAATCTAAGAGAGGTTAAGTGTCAGCTCAAAATTGAAATCTCTTTTTATTCCCTAAATTACAAAGATTTAGGTGCTAGTAGTCAGAATTGCAAGAATTCAAGAATTCCACTGAGGGACTATTTTATTTACCAGTATTCTTTGTACCTCGTGCTCTTGCTTGGCTTTTGCTTGGCTTTTTTTCTCCCTCAAGACTGAAGCTCTACCACTTGAGCTATACCTCCACTTGTGGCTTTTGCTGGTTATTTAGAGATAAGAATCTCTTGACTTTTCTGCTTGGGCTGGCTTTGAACCTTGATCCTCAGATCTCAGCCTCCTGAGCAGCTAGTGTAACAGGTATGTCACCAGTGCTTGTCTTGTGCTGGCCTTTTAAAACCCAAGAGTCAGTAAGATGGGGGAGTCAATGCCTGCTGTCCCCTGGCTTCTCTCTTGGAGATCCAGATCCAGTCACATAAGTTGGAAGAGGACTAACTGGAGTGGACCCCTGAGTCAAGGTAAGCCAGAGCTCTCTCAGCCATTTGGAAGGGGAGGCATTAAAGAGTCAGAGCCAGCTTGCCCTAGACAATCAAGCTGTGAGATTCCAGACAGTTAAGGTTGCATTTGACAGCTCAGCAAATCAAGACTGTGTGTATGCCAGAGCTGGGTGGGACCAGAAATCCCAAGGAAACAGAAAAACACAGCCTGCAGGAGAAGAGAAAAATGAGACTGACACGCACAGAGAACCAGACAAGATGTCAGGAGGAGTGAGAAAAGGAGAAAAGAGAGGAATGGAGAGGTGCCCTCTAAGAACCCTGAGTTCCTTTGCCAGAGCCTGAGGCAAGGACTGGGGGAGGCAGCTATGGGGAAGGTGACCCTCCCAGGAAATCAGAGCCCCAGAGGCAGGGAGAATGAGTCAGGCTAAGAGAAAAGCCAATCCACGAATGAGATATCTCTTTCTACTCAGCTGCTAGGCATTGAGGACACCTGGAACCATGAGTATCCATCTCCTCATGACCATGGGCAGAGCTGCTCAAGGTGAAGCCCACACAGGTAAATATGTTGCTGAGACATGGCCCAAAAATGAATCCTGGAGTTCTTCTGTTCCCTTACTCTCGCCTGGTTAGGGAGAAACACTGTACCTGACTTATGTAGTTGTGACCCCTCTGTACATCACCTTTCTAATAACAATAAAGTAAACAATAAAAAAATCCTGGAGGTACCATTTGGCCACCTGACCCTGAAGGTAATGAAATAAAACTTTACAGGCAGTTGGGTGAATAAATGTGTGAGCAGTTGCTTTCACCTCTCAAAGTCATCACTGATTCATTTAACTTTCTAGTGGTCAGTCATGGGGAAGGGAGTGGCCATGAGTGGGGGGAGATTGGGGAGAACCAGGTTGGCCCATTTTTCTACCTGGGTGGGCTAGTGGTGCATCTCCACACTTGTGGGAAATCCCGAGTCAGAGAAAACCATCCACTTCCAGGAAAGGACATGGGGCAGGGCCAGGAGCTCACATAGCCTATCTTAGCTGAGGATTCCAGACCTTGGGATTCATTCTTCTGCACAGGGCTGGCCCACCATGCTGTTTAGACCATCTTTTTTTTTTTTCCCCAGGACACGCCTTCTGGCCGTCTATCTGCTGTCCTGTGAACCCTGCTCTCTTCCACTCAGACACCTATCACTGATCAGACTTGTTTAGTTTATTCTAAAGGTAATCATTTTACCCTGGAAAGGTAATAGTTTTATCCTGGGGTGGGCGGTGTGTGTGTGTGTGCATGTATATGTGTGTATGTGTGTGTGTATGTGTGTATGTGTGTGTGTTCCATTTTGGTGTATGAATTTCCCACAAGTCACTTGGGACTAAATAGTCCCTCCAGTTAGAAAGCTGTTTAGTTCCCCAATGGCTTATGGAGCTAGTTGTTTCTTTGCGCAGAGTGAGGCCATTTGGAAGGACTCATGTCTCTGTAAAGGAAGAATCTGTTTCCTCTGGTTCTTGAGTTTCCCCTGAATGAATTCCATGGATTTCTTTTTTTCTTTCCTTCCTTCCTTCCTTTCTTTTTTTGGTTGGTCATGGGGCTTGAACTCTGGGCTTGGGTGTGTCCCTCAGCTCTTCAGCTCAAGGCAAGCACTCTACTATTTGAGCCACAGTGCCACTTTTGGTTTTCTGGTGGTTTATTGGAGATAAGAATATCATGGACTTTCCTGCCCAGGCTGGCTTTGAACTGCAATCCTCAGATCTCAGCCTCCTGAGTAGCTAAGATTACAGGCATGAGCCACCAGTGCCTGGCTCCCACGGATTTCTTTTGGGTATTAATTGGGTCAGTTAAGATCCAGGCTGGAAACAAATGGACTGTATTGGTTTTTGAGAGCTGCTATAACAAATGGTCACATCTTGTGTGATTTGAAACAGAAAGCGTGAATTCAAGCTGTTAGTGGGAGATCCTGGCCCCTTGGAAAGAAGAAGGAAAGAATAATGGCTCACCAGAAGCAAGTTAGCTGTGGCTGGCAATGGGTGTGCTTTGGCCTGCAGCAGTAGAATGCTGGCTTCTGCCTTCAGCTCCACATGAACTGTGAGTCTCTCTGTGTATCTATCTTCACATAGTTGCCTTCTTGTGAGGACATTAGGTATGTTGGATAAGGAGCTCTCCCTATTTTAGTATGACAGCATGTGCAAAGACTATTCCAAATCAGGTCGCATCCTCAGTTACTGGGTAGGTGAACTAAGTTGTCTGAAAGAGAAACTAGGCACTGGTGGCTCACACCTGTAATCCTAGCTACTCAAGAGGCTGAGACCTGAGGATCATAGTTCAAAGCCAGCCTAGGCAGAAAAGTCAAGAGATTCTTATCTCTAATTAAACAGCAAAAAGCTGGAAATGGAGCTATGGCTTAAGGGTGAATGCTAGCTGTGAGTGAAAAATGCTCAGGGACAGGCCCCAGGCCCCGAGTTCAAGCCTCAGTACTGGCACACACACATAAACAAGAGAGTTTATCTAAAGAAGCCACGGATGTGTTGAAGATCCTACAGACTGACTCACTACAACTTCCTGATTGTGGAGTGACAGAATGTTGCCAGTTGAGAGCCAATATTATCTCAGGCTAGCTCTAGTTCTTGTAGTAGCCATTTATGACCAGTCTCTATGTCTGAACTTATCATCTTTGTGACTATTAGGTAAGATTTTTTTTTTTTTGGAATATACTGTTAAACTTAGCAGGCTGGCAGCTCCCACCAGCCCTAAAACTATATGATGATTATAATTTCTGAAGCCTGCACAAGAAAACTTCCCCTGTTCTGTTGTAACCTGCCTTCCTCATGTCCAAACAATGGATTCCGTAAGTGCATTGTTTTATCACTTTATTTTGTTCGGTGACTATAAGTGTTTATTTATGTCACCTCTTCCACAAAGGAATCTGTCTTCCACAGTAAGCTAAATCAGTGCTCCCAGGCCATAGTGACTCAAATACGGATCAAAATAAACTCTTATTCCTATTGGTGTTAAAGTGCCCTGTCCTGTCAAGCATCTGTAAGGACTCTGGTCTTTCTGTGAAGGCCAAGATGCTAAATGTGATTACTGGGGAATGTGATCTTTTTTTCTTCCTTTTTTTCTGTTTCAGTAGGCGTTTCCCCAGTGTGGAATATGAAGGCTGCTTCAAGCTCTGTAGTGTGTTTGGATGGCTACGCTGTGGTCTGGGACAATCACCAACTACCTGGCCCTTCTACCATGCAGTCCTTTTGTGTATCTGGGGCTCTCCTTGTTTTGTTCAGAGTAGTAATTGCTACTCCACGACATCCTGTTTTCTCATCTGTGAAATGGGTTGTCAGCCCTTCTAATGAGTTGAGGCTGATAGAAGGGCCAAATGGGACTTTGAAAAGGAAGTTTCATCAGAGACTGAATGCACAAGGGGACTATGGCTGCTTTGGGGGATTCCAATGGTGATGTCTGAAGCAACAGCAACATCTTGTGGCCATTACTAACACTACATGATACATTGCTCTCAGCACCCAGTACCCAGCTTAGGCCCCACTCTCCTATAAAGATGTTGTTTTACTCTGGGTTTCTACGCATGAGTTGGTGTTTTTCATTACTAGGCGTATGTGACAGCTCATTCTGAGTGGACATAGGGAGCCAGGGACATCTGAAGGTCATAAGGAGCATCCAGAGGGAGACCAAGGGCCACAGGACATTAGACTGTCCAGAACTTGGGAGTTTCTCAAGTGCTAGGTAGCCCACATGTGTTTGATGACTACCATATTAGATGACATTCTAACAGAAGGTATCATGGGGCAATTCTGTCCTAAAGGGTTCCCGAGTCTCATCTGGTTGCTGGAGGTTGACGTGGACAGATGCCTTGTCCTTCTCTCCCTCACTCTGGTGTCATGCCCCCACCATCCCATACTGGGATTTGAACTCAGGGCCTGGGAAACTGTCCCTTCGCTTTTTCTGTTAAGGCTGTGCTCTCTAATTGGAACCACATCCCCACTTCTGTCTTTTTGGTGCTTAACTGGAGATCAGAGTGTCACGGACTTTCTTGCCTGGGCTGGCTTGGAACGGCCATCTCAGATCTCAGCTATGTGAGTAGCTAGGATGACAGGTGTGAGCCACCCAACAGGTTCCTATGGTATAATAGGATGCATGTGGTTTTGGGGGTGAGCCTCAGGTGAGCCATTGTGTGGCTGGTGGTCACAGACTGTGTGCATAAGGCTGGGTATGACACATTTTGGCTCCTGTGTCCCTGCTCAGTTGTCACTTCACAGAACAGAGAAGCTTCTGGAAGTTGCCCCCGGGGATGCTAGTGGCACATCCTCAGGGGGCCCACAGTTCTCTCCTGAGGAGGGTGTGCGACCCTTCAGGGAGCTCCTTCTAGGTGAAGAGGGGTCCCAAGCCAGGCAGGGCCAGCACTTGCCAGGAACAGCCTTTATTCCCATGGGGTGCCACATCTGGCATCTCGCAGTCAACCCTCCTCGGGGACGTTGAGCTTCTCCTTCACCCCACAGGCCACCACGGCGAAAAAGAACTCGGGGAAGAAGGTGCGGATGTAGACCGCGACCTTGGGGACAGGGTTGGCTATGAACACCTCTTGCTTCTTCCTCCGCACCGTGCGCATCACCTCCTCGGCCACCTCTACTGGGTGCACGCCGTAGCCCAGCTTCCTGGAAAAGACTGAAAGCCCCAAGATGGGGGTCAGGAGGCGGGGAGTGTCTGAGGCCTGGGCCAGGAGCAGCCTGGGGTGAACCCTCTGCCCACCCAAAGGGACGGGAAATGCGTGCACCCGCACAGACCAGGCTGCCAGGCCACACTGATATCTGCTTGCCACTACCCCAGGGGTGGGTGGAGGTGGGGTGGGGTGACCTTTCAATCCTGCAGACTTCCCTTTTGCTGCTGTGAAGTGGTCCTGGCTCCTACCTCCCGCCTCAGTACCTCCACCAGATGAGAAGGTAGGAGGGCTGGGGCAGAGCTTAGAATGAATTATGGGCCTGTCAAGCAGCAGTGTTATGGAATTGAGTTTGTTCAGTGCCTGTTGGAACCACATCATTGTCCTCAGCTTGGAGCCTTCCTCAAGGTAGACCTGGAGCCTTTGGCAAAGATGAAGTGTTTCTATGTGTAGAACGTTCGAGAATATGACATCATGTATTTGTAGAGTATTCCTTGTAGGCCGGTGAGCTGGAAACTTCATCTTTCTTACAACTCAATGAGGGTAGGAATTTCTATTAGCCCTCATTTTCCAAAGGGGAAACTGAGGTACAGAGTTATTAAGAGATTCTTATTTGGGTGCCAGTTCCGGGGCTTGAACTCAAGGCCTGGGTACTGTCTGCTGAGCTGCTTTTGCTCAAGGCTAGTGCTCTACCATTTGAGTCAGAACTCATCTTCTGGCTTTTAGTTCTATTTTTTTTGGTAGTTTTTTTTTTTTTTTTTTTGAGAGAAGATGAGTCTCACAAACTTTTCTGCCTGGGCTGGCTTTGAACTATGATCTTCAGATCTCAGCTTGTAACCCTTAGCTAGGGTTACAAGCGTGAGCCACCCACACTCAGCTTCAGAGACTCATTTTAAGAATTGAATCTATGTTCATCCATTTTAAGTGTGGCAGAGGCAAGCTTCCAGCTGTTCTCTGGCTGGACACCACTTCTACCTAGGGCTCCCTCCTTGGACAGGGCAGGTGCTTACAGGCCAGGTTCTCATAAGGAACAGGCCCAGAGGGCAGGTTTAGTGTGTAAGTTCAGCTTGGCCTGGGTCTGTTGTCTAGAGGTTGAGCTTCTTTATCAAGAGGTCTCAGGTCTGAAGGTGTGTACCTCACCCTAGACTCATGTTTCAGGAACACCCACCTTGGGCCCAGCCACACAATGACCCCTCCCAACCCCCACCCCCAAGCTCCCAGCTTCCCTCTGAAAAGCTCACATTTCCAGATGGAGGGCTCCCAGTGTCCTTGCTCTGGATACACATGGTAGGACCGGATGAAAGTTGGGCTCACAGTGCTAACCACCACGTCATATTCCTCTACTTCAGCCCGAAGGCAGTCAAAGAAGCCCAGGGCAGCGTGCTTAGAGGCCGCATCTGGAAGAAACATCAGCCAGAGGTGGGTGCTGGTGTGGGAAAGGGCCATCCCTGCTTCCCCAGAGATGCATTAGAAACACAACAGCTGACCTAGATGTTCCTCAAAGCTCAGGGCTGAAAAGAGCCTCACAAATCCACCTCAGACCCAGGCACTGGTGGCTCATACCTGTAATCCTCGCTACTCAGGAGGCTGAGATCTGAGGATCACAACTTGAAGCTACCAGGGCTGGAAAGTTAGTGAGATTCTTATCTTCAATGAACTAGCAAAAACTAGAAGTGGAGTGGAGGTGTGGCTCAAACAGTAGAGTGCCAGCCTTGAGCCAAAAGTTATAGGACTGTGCCTAGGCCCTGAGTTCAAGCCCTAGTACACACACACACACACACACACACACACACACACACACACACACATACACACACACACACAAAACTGAAACAACAAAAATGATGACAACAACAACAACAAGAATAACAACAATAAAACCCTTGTTTAGAGAAAAAGAGCAAAAGTCAGAGTTAAAATTGAACTCTGATTAGCAACGTGGCTGCTATATGACTATGGTTAATCATGTGTTTTGTTTTTGTTTTTTTTTTTTGGTTTGTTCTTTTGGTGTGGTACTGGGATTTGAATTTAGAGTCAGGTGCATTCAAGGCAGCCATTTTATAGCCGAGCCACACTTCTATCACCTTTGTGCATTGTTTATTTATTTAGTGCCAATCCTGGGGCTTTACACTCAGGGTGTGGGTGCTGTCCCTGAGCTTGTGTGCTCAAGGCAAGCACTTTCCCACTTGAGCCATAGCTCCACTTCCAGCTCTTTGGTGCCTAATTAGAGATAAGAATCTCATGGATTTTTTTTCTGCCCAGACTGGCTTCTAACTGACTAAGCTTCAGGAGGAGAAAAACCTTATATTTTACACCTCAGCATCTTCTGAGAGGACTTGCATACTCCAAGTGCTCAAAATGTAAGAACTTTGCTGGTTGCTGGTGTTCACACTTGTAATTCTAGCTATTTGGAAGACTGAGAATAGGAGGATCTTAGTTCCAGGTAGAAAAGTTTGCGAGACCCTTTCTGAACCTGTGGTGCATACCTGTCATCCCAAGATAGAGGGGAGACTGACTGGGAGGATCGAGGTACCAGGCCTGTCAGGGCAGAAAAGTCTATGAGACTCCAGCTCCACAAAAGGGAATCCAGATGTGGTGCATGAGCCTGTTACTCCAGCAACAATCAGAAGCCTACAGCTGGCACATGGCAGCTCAGGGACACGCTCAAGTGGGAAGTGATATCCTATCCTAAAAGTAAGCAGTGAAAAATAGGGCTGGAGATGTGGCTCAGTTGTAAGAGTGCCTGCCTAGCAAGCAAGAGGCCCTGAGTTCAAATTCCAGCACCACCATTACCACCACCAAAAAAAGGAAAAATAAAAGGAACTGAAGGAATAAGACCCAGCAGAGAGCCAGCTCAGCTCATCTATGGGGATGAGACATCCTCCCCCCCCTCATCTATGGGGATGAGACATCCCTCCCCACAGTTATGTGCCTGGTCATACGCGGACAATACCTCTGTCACTTAAGGTGTACAACATACAGATTCATCATCTTCGCCTTTGCAACTTACAAGCTGTACGGAAGGGGACTCCAAACTTCCCTTGGATGTTGTTTACTAATACGATCTGGCCTGTCCTCCGGGAGATCATGTTGGGAAGTAGGACTGGAAAACATAAGGCATCACTGTAAGGAATCTTGGAGAGGAAGTAGACGGGTAGAGCATTCTTTACAATTTCTTTGCTGTGCACACACACACACACACACACACACACACACACACACACACGGTTACACAATTCCACAATTCATTCCCTAGTGTGGATCTTTTCATTTTCTTGTCTTTTCTCTTTTGAATAGACAGGGTCTCACTATTTATTTATTTTTCTAGGCTGCCCTTAAACAATGATCTTCCTGTTTCTACCTCTGAATAACCAGGGTTATGGTCAAGTACCATCATACCCTGCTTTGGATTTCATTTAAAATGAAATGTAGGGGAAAGAAATGCTATAAACTAAGAATACAAGTGGAATATGGACAGAACCAAAAATGAAAAAAGAAAAAACCTCAAAGGTTGTTTAGAGACTCAATTTCCAGAGTGGTCAATGAAACTTAGCACCTTCTTGGTAGAGATGAGCAAATGGACACTCAGAGCTGTGGCCAGACTCAGGTCCCTGAACAGGGAGAGGCCCACCCATCGGGGCAACCTGGCCTGGCCTTTCCCACTCTGCTGCTTTTGCTCTGTGAGCTGTTGTCACTGAGAAGTTGCTGTTGGGGCTTGATGGACAGAGGTACCTTTGCTGGCCCACTTGGTATCTGATCAGTGTTGGACTTGGGGGAAACTTTTCTCTGGTATACTTTCTAGAAGGTCTAGAAAGTCATCTCTCTGTTCTAAAGGCTTCTTTTCCCTCATTGATCCTCCATCTCCAGAGGCTCCTGAAATGGAGCTGGCTGGTGAGCCTATGACTGGAGACCAGGCCTTCTCAGCCTCTGCCATGCACCCAATGCCATGTGTATGTGTCCCTGGGAATTCTGCTTAATCAGATTCTGTTCAATGGATACCTCCAGCTGTAACTCCATAGGCTGCAGCTTGGAGCCTTGAGCTTTGAGGTGAGAAGGCTATACCCACAAAGTCTTCCAAGCCCCTCAGTTAGGTCCATGCAGAAGCCACCACTTCCCCTCTAAAGGTAGACATCGTCTGCCTTTCCTGTTTCAGTGCAAGGATTGAAAGAATGCATCCCCAGCAAGCGTGAAGCTCTGAGTTCAAACCCCAGTACCACAAACAAATGGACAAAAACAGTCAAAAAACAGCATCTGTGTAACAGAGAAGTAAAGAATACAGAATAACACACACACATATGTTTAAAGAACACTGGTGAAGAGTAGGGATGGGAGGGGGGAATAAAGAAAGAATGTGGTACAATTACTCAATAATAATAAATAAATATTAAAGAAAAGAATACTGGGCCAGGCACTGGGGGTTCGTGCCTGTAATCTTCGTTCCTTAGGAAGCTGAGATCCAAGGATCACAGTTGGAAACCAGCCTGGACAGAAAATATTATCTCTAATTAACCAGGAAAAAGCCAGAAGTGGAGCTGTGGCTCCAGCCATCGAGAGCCAGCCAAGTAAGAGCATGAGGACCTGAGTTCAAGCCCCATTATCACAAAAAAAAGACACTGGGCCTCTTGTAGTTTGATGATAAATCCGTTTTCCTTTTTATTTCTGAGGACAGGAACATTAACCAACTATAAAACTGATGTAGAAAAAAATAGGTCGAAGATAAAAAGACATCTCCAGACAGGTTGAATGAGAAGAGGAACATGGGTATGGAAGCACAAAGAATCAGAGAGCGGAGCTGGGGGGAAGAGTGTCATGGACAGGGAGATTGCAAACGTAGTGGTAGCATATTTCCAACAGCCCTTTTTTATCAGCATTCTCAGTGATTGTGTTTAAGGCTCCTATTACTGAAGTTGGGAGCCTCTGATAGATTGAGTGACATGGCTATCTGGCTATGTCACAGGTCCTTTCTTGGTGTGTGGTGGCCTAGAAACCCAGGGGGAAATGGAGAAGCTCACGAGACCTTTGGTCAGAGTGATGGGTCCAAAGTAATTGGCGTCCATGATCTTCTTGTCCAACTCCAGGGAAATCTTGTGGGCAGGCCCCTTCATCTTCACACTGGCATTGTTGATAAGGATGTCCACACAGCCATAACAATCCAGGACTTCTTTTGCCACATCTTGGACACAGCTGATGTCTGAGAGATCCAGGAGGACCAACTTTGGGGTGAACGTCTGCTGAACCAATGAGAGAATCATGGCTTGTGTGGGACCACTTTCCCCTTATAAACCTGAGGGGCTCTCAATCCAACAGTCTTTCACTGCTCTAGAAATTCAAAGTGCATGGGATTCCTATCAAGAGACAAAACTAAAGGAAGTTGTAAACATGTAATTCTGGCCAGGGTTCCCAAACCAATAAATCCAAATGAATACTGCTCTTGATAATGGTCCACTTTGGAGGCCATGCTCTGGTCCCAGTGATGACATCAGTACTTTGAGCATTTCTGAGCTCCTTTTTGGAAATTGCTTTCCAAACTGGATGATGGGCCATAAGAAAATCCTTCTCAGCATACATTAGATCCATATTGGAACAGCATCTATGAGCTAGGTGCTGTGTTTGGCTCTAGACATTTGCTGCTATCAGGACTATTGGGTCTAGGGTTAGGAACAGTTGGAAAAATTGGTGATACCATGAGGTGGTTCATTCCTAGTGTTTGATAAACAGTAGTTCGGAGCTATGCCCTTGAAGAGTAGGTTCCCTATGTTTTATTTTTGTTGGTCATGGGGCTTGAACCCAGGGCCTGAGTGCTGCCCCTGCGCACTTTTGCTTAAGGTTAGCACTCTACCACTTAGATCCACAGCACCACTTCCTATTTTCTGGTGGTTAATTGGAGATGAGAATCTTACAGACTTTCCTACCTGGGCTGGCTTTGAATTATGATCCTCAGATCTCAGCCTCCTGAGTAGCTAGGATTACAGGCCTGAGCCACGGGTACCTGGCTGAGCAGGCTCCCATTGGGTGGTTAGGGTCCCATGAGACATCCTTGATCTTCTGCATTCTTACACAAAATCAGGGCTAGGGTCAGTGTCAAATTATTGGTGTGGTGAATGGTCAAAATAAATGAATCCCTGATGACTGGTGGATAGACCTAGATCAAGGCCAGTGGGCTAATCACACCACATTCACCTCAGGTAATACCAAACTTCCTCCACTCAGCCCAAGAACTGTTCCTGAATAACGGATGTAAGCTAAGGATACCCATGAGTTCCCAAGGCCTGCTGGGAAGGCATTACCTTGCTGGGGTCAGCCACGCTGATCAAGGCATCATAGAGGCTTTCCAGCCTCTCCCAGTTCTTCCCACACAGCACCAGTCTTGCCCCACCTGTATGGAACACTCGAGCGCATTCTGTGGAAAAGAAGAAAAGCAAGGTATACTTGATGGATGAAGCCAATGGTGGTTGAGCCCCTTCTCTTAAGAACTCAAAAAGTCAAAAGAATTCATAGTTGTGTCATGATGTTCTTCCAACCCTCTTCCAAGGCTAGAAATACTTTTTGGGGAGAGGTGCCCGAGACTGAACTCAAGGCCTTTCACAAGCTGAGCAAGCACTCTACCACTGAGTTATCCCAGCTCATCTAGAGTCTTTAAGACCACTATCCTAACATAGCTCCATCTAAAGATTGGGAGAGCCACCATGTTTGTGCTATCTGACTACCATTCTTCCTGCTGCACTTTCTCTGTGTTAGGTCCCCCCAGCCAGGGCTCTTCTTATTAAAAACATGAACCTATTTCCTGTCTAATTAATTTAACTCTGGGCTAATTCCTGATTTACTCCATATAGGACCTTCTGACTGTTATTGTTGGTAGACATATAGTATTCTTATGGAGTAATATTTGTTTTTAAAGGAAAACAGAGTAAGTTTATTTGAAAACAGTGAAAGAAAGGATTGAGAGACTGTCCATCCAGTGAGGGGCCCCAAAGAGAATTCCAAAAGAGTCTTCTTTGGAGTGTGGTTGGAGAACTAATCTTGATGTTTAAAAATAACAGTGACATATGTGGACAGCTTGTTCATTCCATGAACTATTAAAAGAAATCTCTGCATATTGTCAGTTGTCGAGAGATGAATTACAATTCTTTTCATAATTTTAAGAGGCGGTGTATGTTACCTTAGGTCCCATAGGGCCAAAATCAGAGCCAGAAGTATAAGAGTCCAGGGTTCTTGAGGGATTTCCCTTCAGAAAAAAACTCATCAGGGAGTGAGGACATGGAGCCGGTGTCAGACAAGAAGGTGGTGCCAGACAAAGTCTAGCTTTGGCTAACCCAAGGACAACTCGGTAGTAATAGGAACCCCAATCCAGAACTGTGCTAACCCGGGGGACCATTTTATAGCATGTGCATCAGGAAGAAGGTAACAAAATCAGAGGTAACAGAATGGTAGAGGAGAACCTGCAGGGACTGCAAGAGGGCAAGAATTGATTTCAGCAACATTTAAAGGAGAAGATCTGGGCATTGGTGGGTGGTCACAGGCAGTGCTGAGATTTGGTGGCTGTTCTCTGAGTAAGGCTGGGTTGTCACTCTTGCTGAAGACTCTATGAATACAAGGTGACACAGCATCCCACTTGGCTGAATTGTGAAGGATTGGGGCAAGGTCAGGAGTGGATGTAATCCATTTGTTTGATTTCCATAGCTTGCTATTGTGAACCCCAACAGGGTCATTTTACTTGTAGGGCGATTCTGGTTCAGTGGTACCCAGGAGTGCTTTGGATTCTGTGTGTGTGTGTGTGTGTGTGTGTGTGTGTGTGTGTGTGTGTGTGTGTGTGTGTGTGTGTGTGTGTGTGTGTGTGTGTGAGCTCTTACTTTTTGCTGGTCTTGGGCTTGACAGAGGATAAGTTGGAGTCTGGAATCACTGTCATCAGCCACACATGGAGGGCAGGCCCTTAGTTCACATACACCCGGCTTCTAAAGTTGCCTTTAAATGTGTGAGCATATATCTTTCTGCCTTGTATCTCTTTCCAGTGTGGGCCAATGAGATGTAGTAAGAAGTAGTGGTCATGACAGACTCAGTCATGTTTCTCTGTCAATGTGAGTTTTGCGCTGGAGACGTGACTCCTGGGGTCCTGATTAATACAACCAGTAACCATAACTGAATGAAATTTAACATATGAAGCAGATTATCAAACCACATGTACATCACACAGCAGTAGAGAGAGCAGCTACGTAGTAATACACACCAATGACAACACAAGAGAGTTGCGATGTATCTTCAAACAACAGGACAAAGATAATATATGTAGACCCTTCTTACCCCAACAGCAGCTCTAGGCAATTCTTATCAAGCTGGCAAGGGGCATATACCAAGATTGACACATCTAGCCCATTTAAAAACCCTCAAGAAATTCAGAATTGAAATTATGTAGTGAATCCTATGACCATATTGGAACCAAACTGGAAATTGATAAACATTACAAGATAATTGATAATTGATAAACATTACAAGAACATACTTATCTAAATGAGTGCCTTCCTCAGTCAAATGTTTAGACTAATAAAATCATTAGACTGCTTATTAGATAGACTTTTTCCCCCCTTTATTGTTTTTGGGGCTTGAACACAGGGCCTGGACACTATCCCTTAGCTTTTTGTGGTCAAAGCTAGTATTCTTTTCTTTTTCTTTTTTTTTGGGTCCGGTCATGGGGCCTGAACTCTGGGCCTGGGTGCTGTCCCTCAGCTCTTCAGCTCAAGGCTAGCGCTCTACCACTTGAGCCACAGTGCCACTTCCGGCTTTTTTCTTTTTGCTTATGTGGTGCTGAGGAATCAAACCCAGGGCCTCATGCATGCAAGGCACTGAGCCACGTTCCCAGCCCTCAAGGCTAGTATTCTACCATTTGAGCAAGAGTTCCACTTCTGGCTTTTCGATGGTCAGTTGGAGAGAATCATCTCATGGACTTTCCTATCAGATCGGCTTTGAATTGTTATCCTCAGATCTCAGCCTCCTGGAAAGCTAAGATTGCAGTTATGAGCTACCAGTGCCTGGCTAGATCAGCATGTTTGAGCACTGTTGACTGAGCATTTGGATGCTGGGGATACCAGCTGCACAGAACACTGGCTTCACCATGGGAATAACTAGGGAACACAGAGAGGGAACAGTGTGAGAAGCATGTTAGTGTGGGTGCACGTGTGCAAAGAGCCATGGGATATAAGATAGAAGTTAAGGTGGCAGAGGAAGCTCTCTAGTAAAGGCCACATTAGGGTCCATGTGTCAATAGCCTGATCCGTTTCTAGATCACACATTCTATCTGGAGACTTTGCTTTTCCTTAAGCCTTTAACTGAGAATGGCCTTATGTGGACATGTCTTTTCAGTTTTCCTGGGCAATGCTGTTGTCTGCTGTCTGGTCTGATTGGTAAATATAGTGCCCTGGTTTGGCCCTACTCCCTTCTAATGAGATAGGAGATCTTCAAGAATTGCTTCTCTGATCCACTATGGGGACATACAGAGAGCCATATCTATCTGATTTATGCTTTTAAAAAGTAAACATATGACTGACCCAAGATGGTCACTCATTGAGCTATAAGCCATCCTCAAGCGTGTAGATTAACTTTCACTGTGATGTTCCACAGAAGCAGCAGCAGGCTTGAGAGGAATCTCAGAGAAGGTGTTTCTCAGGGTAGAATGCTCCCAGCCTTCCAGAATTACTCTTTGGAAAGAACAATGCTCATGACACAGTGGCCAGATAGTCATTTTGTTGAATGACTAATAGATGCTTGGCTGTGTGGACTTTCTGCTGGATTTGAAAAAAAAATAACAAAAACAATAGTGAAAATTGCAACTCAACTCAATAGCAGATAAGGTTGTACTAGCATTGTTTGGGATGGGAGAGTAAGAATTTTGAAAAACCAAAGGGCATTTATTGGCCCTTCATCCCAGAAGCCACTAGCAGAAGGACCTTGAGATGATCTAACTCAGAAGATGCTAATATAAATGCCTACAAGACTTGGAGGTAGCTGTAGAAGAACCAGGCTACGGTAGGGAGTAGTGGGGTGTGTGGCCCACTGAAGTGGGCACACTGTACCTAAGTGTGATCATCACCAACATCATTGCTAATGCTTGGGGAGGGGGCACTTCTAGGTGCTCTGTTAAGTGCTACCTGCTCTGAATTTACTCATTGCTCACAGATACATCACGAGCTAGAAGTTGTCTAGCATCTTTGTTTTACAGATGAGAAATGCAAAGCAGGGAAGTGAAGTCACCAGCTAGAAAAGTGCCAGAGCCAAGTCTGGGTTTCCATTGAGTATGCCACCAGCATGCAGCTGCAGCTAAGGACTTTCCTTGCCTTTTGCCATTTCTGGAAACTCCATGAAAGCACAACCAGTCGCAGCATACACCACTCTCAGCTCTTAAGACTGTGAGTTTACAACTCCCAAAACATTCCAGTCCTCTCAGGTATCCCTCAAGGAAGACATAGCTTTCCCCTCAAGGAAAGAAACAGAGACATACCCTGAAGAACCCCAAAGTGATCCCTCCCCACCTGGCAGGTGCTTCTTGGGTAGAGATGGGCACACACACACACAACACACACACACACACACACACACACACACACACACACACACACACTCACGGGTGGAGCCAGCTTACCCTTGCCCAGTCCTGAGATGGCATCTGTGATGACCACTACTTTGTTCTGCACGGCAGACTTTGACCACAGCCTGGACACCTCCTGATAGATGAAGAGGAGACCGCTGATCCCCAACAGTAGCAGAGGCAGCATCAGCACAGCCATGATTCCCATCTTGTTCTGGGGGTTGGATGGGGGGCAACAAGGTGGAAAAGGTCGGCTTTGTGGAGATGTGACTCTCAGAGTAGAGGGAGGGGAGCCTGGGGCTGCAGAATCCTTCAGGGACCTCTCTGCTCTGTGCAGCCTGCAGGCCGCTCCCCAGATAAGTGAGCTTGCAATCGAATAAGAAGTAAGAAGTTACTTACGGTGTCTCCAAAAGCAAATTTGAGTCTGGGGGGCTGGGGATGGGGCTGCCTGCCCCACAGGTTAATGACAAATTTAATTAAAATGGATCTGCATTTCTTGGAAGGAGATCCATGTGTGAAGTCTACTTGCTTGGGCCCTAATGGTTATTTATAGCTCTCACTTGCACTAAAAGGCTTTTCAGGGTAAATATAGTGCCTGTTCTGATATTCAGGGACACATGCTGGCTGGATCTGATTTCCAAGGTCTTGCCAGGACTTTTAAAGCTCTCCTGGCCTGTTGGGCTATCAGAGCTTCCCTGTAGCTTGGGGCTGAGCACTAGGGATCAGGCCCTGGGATTTTCAGTACAGCCACCCTTGCCCTCACTTCCTGTTTCAGATAGTTTGAAGGCAGATCCCCTTCTGATTGGGAGTGAAAAGCCCAGAAATACTGGTATTAAGCAGAGTGGAGACTGTTGCAGAAGGAACCATTGACATGCAGCCAAGGAAAAAGCATTTTTTTTAGAGTGTTGCTTATCTACTGGAGCCTGTACCTTTGTCCTTAACTGTAAAATGGGAGCAACAGCCTCATCTTACAGGACTGTCAGATGGACAAAGTAAGAGTGCACAGCATAAATCTGGCATAGACCTTCACACCCAAGAAGATAACCATTACCTTTTGGGATGAAAAATGCTAAGAAGCACGGTTGTTTTGTTGTTGTTTGTTTGTTTTTGCCTTTATCATTTGAGAGGAGAAAAAGGGGGTGGGTGCAGAAGGAGAGGGAGGAAGTATGTACACATGTGGAAAATGAACTATATAACATGTGGGCAGGGATGAGAGGGGAAAACCCGGATGAAAGTGAAGGGAAGGGAGACATTGACAGGTACTCATGACTTGACTTATGAAATGGTAACCCTTCTGTCTACAGCCCCTTCATAATAATAATAAAATTATATAAAATGCTAAGAATTTTTCCCTTTTTTTCTCACATGCACGAACACATGTGCATGTGTGTGTGTGTGTGTGTGTGTGTGTGTGTGTGCGCGCATGTGTGTGTGCGTGTGCATGCACGTGCTGCTGCTGGTGCTCCCCCTTGGCTTTTTCACCCAAGGTTGGAACTCTGTCACTTGAGCCATACCTCCTCTTCTGATGATTTGCTGATTAATTGGAGATAAGAGTGTCATTAACTTGGCAGATCATAGCAATTGATCCTTCCATTGTGCCTATGAAATGCCAGACCTTATTCCTAGATCTGCACACTTCCTAATGAATTTAGTCTCCACATCTTTGAAATAGGATTATTGTTCTCCTTTTGCAAGAGCAAACTAAGTCACAGAGAGATGAAGTGGCATGGCCACGTAAAATAGAGAATCTGGGATTTGTTTCGATAATGATGATGATGATGATGATGATTGTTGTTGGTTGTGGGGCTTGCCTTCAGGGCTTGGGCACTGTCTCTGAGCGCTTTGTGCTCAAAGTTAGTGCTCTACCATTTTGAGCCACAGCACCACTTGTGGTTTTTGAATGGTTAATCGGAGGTAAGAGTCTCATAGGGACTTTTCTGCCCTGGCTGGCTTTGAACTGTGATCCTCAGAGCTCAGCCACTTGAGTAGCTAGGATTACAGGCATGAACCACTGGTGCTAAGACTGGATCTGGGATTTATATATGCAGTGTCTTAGGTTTACATTTTTTTTGGTCACTGCAACCAAATTTCAGATTTGAAAAACATGTATTTTGAGTAGTCTACAATTGTCTGAGCTTACTGTTTCTGGCCTGTGATGAGGCAGACCATCATGGTGGAAGGGTTATGGTGGAGGAAAGTGCTCCCCTCCTGACAGCCAGGAAGCAGAGAGCCAAACACAGGAAAGGGCTAGGGAAGAGATATATTTTCAAACGCATGCCTCTAGTAACCCACTTTTTCCAACCAGACCCATTCTCACCTTCCAACCTTCTAATCGCCCATTCCTCACTGCATTAGTTCATTGAGGAAGTTAGTACTGTTATATCGTGGTCACAATCAGGGCCTAAGCTGTCAGTGAGCCTTTGGGACCATTTTATAACCAAGCTGTAACAGGTGAGTTGTCTGGTTCCAGAGTTAATTCTCTTAACCATACCTTATTTTCATGCAAAATGGTGTGTGTGTGTGTGTGTGTGTGTGTGTGTGTGTGTGTGTGTGTGTGTGTGTGCGTATGTGTATCTGTGTGTGGATGAACTGGTGCTCCAATTCAGGGCTCAGCTCTTCTTTAGCTTCTTAAGGCTGGTATTCTATCACATAAGCCACACCTCTACTTTCACTTTTTGCTGGTTAGATAGAGGTAAGAGTCTCTCAGAGCTATCTGCCTGATTTACCTTTGCCTGCTTTCCTAAGTAGCTAAGATTACAGGTGTGAGCCATCAGCACTTCACACACACACACACACACACACACACACACACACAGACACCAATCATCATTCTAGATGCCAGGAATATAAAGAACAGTTTCTATAGAGAAAGTTCCAGTCTACGAGTGAACAGATATCAAACAAATCATTTGGGTACACTGAAAGCATTAAAATCTCCAGCAGGATCTATCTTCCAACAAAGTGATATGCAGGGAACGCCTTGGCTCTGTCTCTGTCTTTAGCAATCTGCAGGGGTGCTCACCGGCTGCGTTCCTGTGCTGTGCACGTGTGATTTGTATGCTTTTCTCTTTGTGTGCTTTATTTCAACGCAACTGGCCTCTTTAAACTTTGAAAGAAACAAAAGGGCCTTGGGGGCTCAGGAGTCAATTCTGACTTCAGCCTCTATGACTATCGGCCTTCACTCCTGTCCTACTGTTCACATTGGTCCCTGGCTCCTTTCTCTGTCCAGTGATGCCAGTTTCATTCATGCAGCTCCGGAAAATTCATTTTTTTCCTGGATGCTTTCAGCATCAGTCTTGTGAGACGTGTGTATTTTGAGAGAAGTACATGTCTTTTTGGGAACATTTGCAATGGATTTTCTTTTCTCTAACAGATTTGACTCAATATCCTCACAACCAGGCAGGAAGGATCTCTTTACACAAATATGCAAGGAGACAGGCTGTGTAAGAGAACCAGCTTAGAGACAAGGGCCTCTGAGACTTGTGGGTACTAACTCATCTTCCCAGGAGAGCAAAGGACCCAGGGAACACACATGCTTTGAGATGCACACATTGCAGCAGAAATCATTTTATATCTTTTTAAATAGTCTCCATGGAGCAAAATACAAATTTCCATGCAACTGACATTTATTACACGCATGAGCTCAACAGAATCCCAAACACAAAGAAGTTAGTTGGATTTTTTTCCATTATTTTTTGACTGTGGTGATTCAGTACAAATAGATTCAGAATTTAAAAAAAAATGGAAACACCAAAGACAACTATGATATGTTTACTAAATACATAAATACATAAAAAAATGAACATGAACTATGACATGCATAAAATTATTAGAATTTGGCAACTCATTTTCTTTTTCAACAAAGCCCAGGTTATAAGCAGGCGCCTGTAGCAAAAACAAAACAAAGCAAAACAAAACCAACAATCGAAAACAACAACAACAACAAAATTCCCCTAAATTATGTGGCTGACAATTTGTGGCCTCAAACAAGTTAGACCAAAATCCAAAAGAGTTTCATGCAATATGGTAATCAAGCACATTTGGAAACTCACAGTCCTGCATTGCCCCACACAAGATTTGCATGCTTGGCATTGTTTATTTTTAGACGTGAAAGCTCCAGTGACTTCAGTTAAGCTAAGGCCAGTCAGTCTGTTTTACTGAGCTGTGATTCCAGTGTTTTCATTTGTAGCATTTGACCATCCTTCTGATTTTTTTAATCTATATTTTTTATTGTAAAGATACTGTACAGAGGGGTTACAGTTACACGAGCAAGGTAATGAGTCCATTTCCTATAGAGTATTGTTACCCTCTTCTTTATTTTTCCCCTCCCATCCCTTTCCTCCCCACTTCCCTCCACCCCCTCCTCCTCCTCCCTCCACCCCTGCCCCCAACAGTTGTAAAGTTCCTTTTCAACATAGTGTCCTGTACATCTCGTTGTTATGAAATTTCAAAGAAAAACATTTTTAAATAGTAAAAAAATATTTAAAAATATCTTGTGTGTATGTGTGTGTGTGTGGTGTGTGTGTGTGTGCCAGTACTAGGGCTTGAACTCAGGGCCTAGGTGCTGTCTCTTAGCTTTATCCCTTGAGGCTGGTGCTCTGCCACACCGCTGCTTCCAGCTTTTTGATGGTTGATTGGAGATAAAGAGACTCATGGATTTTCCTGCCTGCACTGGCTTTGAACCTGGCTCCTCAGATCTTCTCCTCTTGAGTAACTAGACCTGAGCTACCAGTAGTCTGGTAATTTCTGTCTTCTAGAAAATAACAACAGAAAGTATAAGATAGCTCGCTACAAAAGCTATTTGTGTGTCAAGGAAGAGCAGTCTGAGTTTTTCTATCAATAAATCTGACAGACAATGCCTTTTGGGTCCAATTGTAAAAATTTCCTTCATCTTCTCTTTCCCCTGGTATTTCCACCCCTCTCTTTCTTTGATACCGTTTTTTAGACTTACCATCAAAAAACTCAAGAGCCAGGTGGTGTAGTTTCATACCTGTAATCCTAGTTACTTAAGATTACTGAGATCTGGAGGACCAAAGTTGAGGCTAGTTTAGGAAGAAACATTTAATAGACTCCTTCTCCAATTAATCAGCTAAAGCCAGGCTGGAGGCATGGCCCAAACAGAAGAGTGCCAGGCTAGCAATCGAAGACCTTGAGTTCAAACCCCAGTATCACCACCAAACAAATCAAAAGAAAGCTATGAAGCTCCTTGATACTAGAGTGACAATAGTTGATATCATCTTACAAGTTATCTTATTGGACGATATTGGCATTTTAACAGAAAGAGTGGCAGAAATCAAAAGTATCTGGTAGTTTACATTTGCATAGCCCCATGCTTCTGGAGCTCACCCCAGAAGGTGTTCAATGTGGGTACAAAGTGCTTGGCTTGTCTGTCTGCATGTATGGTTCTGGCAGCTACAGAATACCAGCTAGCATGCAGACACCTTGCCTGGGACATCTTGTGGCAAGGGCCGTGCTACTTTCACAAAGACAGGTCCAGCAGGGCTGGGAACAGTTTTTGTTTGCCAGATATTCTTCTTACTGTCAGGTCCTGGGTTGTTGTGCTGAGGGTGCCGACTGCTCTGCTTTGCCCTCTGCTTCTCCCGACACTCCAGGTGGGCTGTAGTGTATCTACTGGTGGCTGTGACCGCCACAGCCATGCAGATGGCAAAAGAACTCCAGGCAAGACTGCCAAGAAAAGGCACAGTGAGGAAGGCCTGCAGCTGGGATTCTAGGGCCTCCTCCCCTCTGGTGGGGGATGGTGAGGGGAGTGGTGCTGTCAGCAATGAGGATCAGCATCTGGTATCACAGATTTCACAGACCATCAATGTGGTTTAGTCTGCTGGGTAAGAGACCAGATCCCAGGTCTCCCTTCTTGGAAGTATTTATTAGATATTCTAGCTCAGAAAGCTTCCTTCCAATCTGTGTTTAAGATTATGATTACACTGGGTGCTGGTGGCTTACGACTATAATCTTAGCTTTTCAAGAGACTGAGATCTAAGGATCATGGTTCAGAGCCAGCCTGGGCAGGAAAAGTCCGTGAGACTCTTATCTCTAATACATTTCCAAAAAGTTAGAAGTGGAGCTGTGGCTCAAGTGGTAGTGTACTAGCTATGAGCAAAAAAGCTCAGAGAAAGCATCCAGGCCCTTAGTTCAAGCCCTAGGACAGGCACACACACACACACACACACACACACACACACACATACACACACACACACACACACACACACACATTATGATTACAACAATGTTGAGGACTTTACTATGTGCCAAGCATATGAACATAACTTCTTTAAATATCTGCCCAAAGTGTTGAGGCAGGGACTCTCACCGTGGATGAAGAGATGGGCCTACAGGAAACTTACAAGACGAATCCCAAATTACAAGAGTAGATGTGGTTGCCATGATGAAGCAACTTACCAATATGACCAGCCATAGTCCCATGTCTGAGGCTTCCAGTCTTCTGGTCCAAGGTTCACAGTGATTTGAAATATAGTTGTATACATCATGTGGGCCACCATGCCCAGGAGCCCTGCACAAGGAAAACTCTGTGAGCCACAGAGAAGAATGCAGCACAATGGATGAGGCTTTCTGCCTTATATGGTTTGGAGCTAGCAGGCCTTCAGTACACACACAGTCCTGGAACACATCTCCACGTATACACTCAGAAACTTTCCACCCGACATATTGTTTCCCACACTTGGAACTGTGAGGCATCTAGATCACTATAAGAACTTTGTGGAGGCTGGGACCTTGACAGGAGTCTCAGGGTTCATGGTTTGATTCTTTACTAAGAAGGATGCAGAAATTGGATTGTATTCACTAATGATAGAACTTGGGACAAGTCGTGTTATAATTATTAAGGACATCCAATTTGATGTACAAACTGGGCAGATATACTGATATTCAACCAGAGGAAGTCTGTGCTCAGAGTCTTTTTGTGGAGGAAAGACATTCACAGAACCTTAGGAGAGCAAATTAAGTTGCTTTAAAGGTGCTTAGAGAACATGGAGGTAGAACTAATAAAGGAGTTCTTTATGGAATATTGACACTAAACTTGAACAGTAACTTTTTTTATACCCATACGCGGGCTTGAACTCAGAGCCTGGGCCCTGCCCCTTGGTTGTTTTTTTTTTTTCCACTCAAGACTGGCACTCTACCATTGGAGCTACATATTCACTTCCAGCTTTTTGGTGATAAATTGAGGAGGATAAGAGTTTTGTGGACTTTCTTGCCCAGTCTGACTTTGAAATGTGATCCTCAGATCTCTGCCTCCTAGGCAGCTAGGATTAGAGATGTAAGCCACTGTTCCCCAGCATGAACATCAATTTTTAAAGCTACTATTTACCAAACCCTGTATATTCCTAGTTAGCCTTCATCATAGCTTAACTCTGACAGCTAACTTGGAGAAAGTAAGTAACTTGCTTCGAGTCCCACAGCCATTACATAGCAGAGCTCTGAACCTTATAGGATTCCCGCATAGACCACTGCACTAAGGAAGGCCAGTTCTGTCCTCAGAGCCAGCTCATCAGGTAAATTTCATTATCTATGCCTTTCCCCTTTCTTTCCATTAGTCTCCCCAGGCAAGATTACATTGCATCCATCTAATGGGGATATTTCACAGATGTGTCCAGGGGATCATCTTCCCTGTGCCCTTGCCTTTGTCCCTATAGGGCAGGCTGTGGAGAATCTGCTTGCTGGAATGTACCTGCGAGCACCATGAGAATGGCCACCGAGGCATCCACCTTGAGCCAGTTGAATCCTGAGCTGCAACAACTCACTTTTGTCCCTAAGAGGATGGCACTTGTCAGCATCAGAAATACATTCAGGACCTCAGCCCCAATGGAGAGCCACAAGACACCTACAAAAGGAAGGGAACACAGAAATCCCGGGCATATTCAATTCAGAAGCTCTGGGAGATTCAAGCATTTGATTTAGTTCCATTTTCTCTTACTATAGGGAAATGCTGGTTGCTAAGTACTTTACCAAAAAATGGTTTAAGGAGCTCACAGTGGTGGATGCTGAAATTCCAAACAGCATGACCCTTGGTTGTATGACATCATGGAGCATGGAGTCATGGCACCATGCTGTTTATTTTAACAACACTCTCACAAGAACTAACTCTGGGCCACATGAACACTACATTAATCTCTTTTGAGGGCAGTGCCCTCAATGATCTTAACCTCTGGTCCCCATGTCTAAAGAATTCATACCGTTCTTCAACGTCTGTGGCTTCAAGCCATAGCCATCCCTTAATGACTTGCAAATCATAAAAGGAAAAAAAAAGTGACTTGGAACCAAACCTACAAAATGCCTCTGTTGAAACTTGGAAAGTTGGTAAATGAAGGAGGTTCTTAGGGCCTCATGTAGATGATCATAAAGATGATGGCCTGTAATTGATAGTTGACAGGGCTAAAAACTAAGCAGAACCCTGAAGTGAGCTAGTTAGAGATGTCCGCGTCTTCAACCCAAAGTTGACATATCAATTGGATTCCAACAGAAGACACCATCTCTGCCTTTTAAAAGAAGACACACAAACATAAATACAAAGGCAGAAGATTCTGGGAGTTGAAGAGCCTTGTGTGAGGCTTGCTGGTGCTATGATCCTATTTGTTCCTGTGTCAGCTACTGCTCTCCTCTCTGACTGGGACCCTGCTTTTACTTTGAGGAACTTCATGAATATGGAGTAGAGTGGGGGTAGAGTGTTTAAAGATATGGAAAAGGGAAGCTTAGAGTTGTAAAAACCAAGTTTTGTGATGGGCCCTAGCAATGAACGAGGCACACGTGTCTCAGGCCTTCACAAGAACTCCATTCTAACCTGGTGATTAGACATGAAGAACATACCTATACATTTCATGAGTAAAAGAGGAAAGAAAATGACCCACAGGCAGTGGAATTCCAGAGCTGCTGTCTTCCAAACTCTGCCTTACATGAATAGCTTGAAATTGGCCATTCCCATAGTTACACCAGGGGAAGTGGCAGATATGGCCAACCAAAGCTCCCTGGAGCCCTTGAAGAGTTTGTTTTCTAGCACACTAAAGTTAGATGGTACACGATGCAGCCTACAATCCTGACTTTTGGAGTCGACTTCCTGGGAACGTCAGATACAATCATTTCATCTGTTCCCCACTTTCAATAAAATAATAAAAAAATCATCCACATGATCAGTGGACAGAGCATGAATATGTCATCTACCTTGTTCTTCAGCTGGGATTAGACTCCAGAAACTTCGGCACTGTTCACCTAAAAAGTAAAGAGAATGCAGCCATGAGTGGGTTAGACTTGACACTTGGGGGGGGGGGCAAAATGGTGTTTCTAGGCCCATAGCTGAGCCATAAATCATTTTGAGTGAGAAATGAGGTGGCTCCTTCAGTGTTCATAGACAGGGGCCAATCCTCTCTGTGGAGTGTGATGCACACAGTCTATGGCACTCAGTCCATGTGACTGTCTACATCCAGTGAACTGGGACAGAAATGAGGTGGGTGGGTCCCTCTTGCTCAGGACCTCCCCCAAGCAGAGTTCATCTCTGCCTCCTTGGGACAGCCCAGTTCCTTTCCCCCTCTGATACCATATTTTTGTCATTCAGGAAAAGTGTCACAGATTATTACAGAGTGGATAGCTTTTCAGGCAGGGCAGGAATTTGCTCCTTGGTTCTGGAGGTTGGCTTCAGAGCTCACTTCAGAGTGGACTATGGTTACAGGCTGTCTTCCAGGTTGCATCCATGTCTGTATTTCTAGGTAGCTCTCTAGATTGTTCATATAGAGCCACAGATCTAACTCATGAGGGTCCCATCCTCTTGGCCTTAATTACCACCTAACTGCACTGTAAGACTTCGACACATGGCCACTGGGAGGACACCAACATTCATCCGTAGCACATGGCAAGGGTCACAGGTCTGAGCAGACACATGCTTTTGATGGTGCAAACATAAAGGTTGTAAGTCTTACAGCTGGGTTCCAGTGGCTGATGCCTGTAATGTTAGCTACTCAGGAAGCTGAGAGCTGAGAATCAAGGTTTGAAGCTAGCCGAGGCAGAAAAATCGGGAACTCTAATCTCCAATTGCCAGCAAAAATCTAGAAGTGGAGGTATGGCTCGAGTGGTAGAGTGCCAGCCTTGAGTGAAAAAGCCAAGTCAGAGAGTGAGGCCCTGAGTTCAACCCAGTACCAGCATACCTACATGCACAACACACACACATGCACAGACGCATATACACACAAAAGTGCCTTGGGCCTCATTTCATTCCACTTCTGCATCGCTTCTCCGCTGTGCCATGGGAAGAAGAGAAACGTAAAATGGATTTATAGTATAACATTTGGTTGACTTTCTCTCTGGGATCCTTTTGAATAAAACATGTATCAGGAAAGTGCTTCACATAACTATGCACTCAGATGGCTTGATGGAGAGAGAAGGAACAGAATCAGGGGCCCCTTTGTCCACCTGCAGCCAGCATGGTTCCTGTAGCATTGAAATGGAATCAACTTTAGATGAATGCAACTGCACGTTTTTCTATTGATTCTCTGGCACAGGCAGAGTAGCTGAGATCTCTTGTTTATGGTGGAAAAGTTCATCTTAGTTCCCTCACTTCTAATAGGGGTGACCATAGAACCAGGGAAACCCCAATACTCACACCCTCCTCTCTGGCAGGCTTTTTGGGGCTGATAGAACATAATTTTTTTTTTCCATTTTTACCTCATCAGATCCTAACCACAGCCTGTGAGGGACAGTGGGCATGTGGAACAAAGGGCCTACTTCTACTATAGTCAGGGCCTTTCCTGGTCTTCTTCATCTGCAACATGAATATCTTAACAATTCTCCAAGAAAGTTATGGAAGTATTTTATTAATGGCTTTACACATTTTTTTGTGTTTAATTATTGATACAGGTAAGTATAAAAACCTCTCTTTTCTAGGTTTGGAAGGCAAGCTCAAATAGGTTTAGTAGAGTCAGGAACTGAAAATGAGATTTTTTTTTCCCTCCCAGAGACTCCCTATCTCTGTCTCCGTCACCACCTGCTAGCTCTCTACCTAATGTTTGGAAGAGTGTATTAATATGTTTTCCGTGGCTATAATGAAGTGCCCGAGGATGGATACTACATAAAGAAAAGAGATGTCTGTAGCTCATAGTTTCTAGAGATTCAAGAGCATAGTGCCAGTTTCCTCTGGGAACTGGTGAGAGCCTGTGGCAACATTACAACGTGGCAGATGGTATCATGGTTGGAGAAAGTAGCCACAGGAAGCAGAAGGGATTCAGGAGTCAGTTCTTCTCACAGGAACCTGCTCTCTTGGAAACTAACTATGGTTCCAGGATGACATCAATGCTTTCTGAGGTTGCCCTATTGGCCAAGTCATGCTTCAATGCGTCTCTCTTCTTAGAGATCCTCCTGCCTCAGCTTTACCACACTGGAGCCTAGGATTCTAGCATAGGAGCCTTTAGGAGATATTCAAATGGCATCCAAAACATAGCACGGAGTAAAAGTCTCTCTTGTTTCTGAGGAGAGCAGGCTTTTCTAACAAGAGTAAATGAGAGGCTAGGAACAGAGCCAGAGGCAGGGCATGGAGAGACTGGAGTTAACAGAGACTGGAGTTAACAGAGTTAAGAGACTCCACAATAGCTTAGAAGGGTGAATTTAGCTTGGATCCCGAGAGTCAGACCATAATGAGCCCTTGATTAACATGAATCCTCAGAAATGATGCTCCTTTTGAATAAAGCCAGCGGGATTAGAAGGAAAAATCTTTACAAATCCCATGAAGCCAGAAAGGCGGGTGTTACATTGCTTGGCAATGCTTGGGCAGCCAAGTGGGACGATCAAGCCAGCCCTGGGAGATGGTGTCTAAGCCCTGGGTGCCATCCCCACTTGCTTGTCCCTCCTCACCTCCCTCATGTGGATGCCCAGCCTCCTCTCTCCTGGCATTTTTAATTTTAGAAAAGTAGTCTAGAATTTAAAACGAACACATCCTCTGGAATTCTGGATTTGCCCAAGGAAGAGAACATTTAAGCCATTGCCTTGACCAGGGATTTTTATTTCTTTTCTCTTTTCCTTCCTTCCTTCCTTCTTTCTTTCTTTCTTTCCTTCTTTCTTTCTTTCTTTTTCTTTCTTTCTATCATCCTTCCTTCCCCTCCCTCCCTCCCTCCCTTCCTCCTTTCCTTCCTTCCTTCTTTCCTTCCTTCCTTCCTTCCTTCCTTCCTTCCTTCCTTCCTTCCTTCCTTCCTTCCTTCCTTCCTTCCTTCCTTCCTTCCTCTCTCTCTCTCTCTTTCTTTCTTTCTTTTTGCCAGTCCTGGGTTTAAACTCAGGGCCTGAGCACTGTCCCTGAGCATTTTATTTGCTTAAGGATAGCACTCAACCACTTGAGCCATAGCACCGCTTCCCACTTTTTCTGTTTAAGTGGTACCGAGGAATTGAACCCAGGGCTTCACACATGCTGGGAAAGCATTCTGCCACTAAGCCACATTCCCAGCTCCTGAAGAAATTTTTATTTCAAAAATTCTTTTCAAAATGTGGAGGGAAAAAGGCGTGGACAGAGCAGAACTATGGGAGGTGTTATGTGCGGAAGGTGTCACAAAATAGGTCTCTACATAAAGCTTCTTGGTTGGACCTGCTGGTGGGAAGATGTCACTGACCCAGAAGGGAACTTCCCAGTGAGGCCTTTGGGGCAGCAGAGCTTGGGTACCAGGACACCAGGAAGCCACTGGCTTGGACTTCGTTTGGGCACAGGCTTATCCTCTCCAGACTACAATCCTTACAGTTATGAATAGTGGGTACCAGTGTGATGACCTTCCCAGCAGGGACCCCAGGCTATATTCTGCTATAAACATCCTTTCTTGGTCTCATACAATACCCTCTGTGTGTGTGCCAGTCCTGGGGCTTGAACTCAGGGCCTGAGTGCTGTCTTGAGCCACAGCTCCATTTCTGGCTTTTTACTGCCTAATTGAAGATAAGAGCCTGTCAGATTTGTTTGCCCATGGTGGCTTTGAACTGTGAGCCTCAGATCTCAGATCTCTTGAGTAGCTAAGATTACAGGCATGAGTCACTGGTACCTGGCTCTTTATATCATATTCTAAGGAAAATGTTGTTAGAAAATAGAATTCAGATATCTTACTTCTATTGAAAACTCATTGAACTTGACCATATCAGACTCAGCTAAGCAGGTGACATAGCTAAGTAGAGTGAGTAGCTTTCCCCTTTAGCCTACGCAGGAAGTTCAAGGTCATTGTCTAGGCTTATTGCTTCATCTACTTTTATTATGTCTTCCTATAAGACACTAGAGTTTGTAACTTCTAATATATAGCTTTAAACTTATTCTGTAATATCTTAATTTATTTGCTATTAAGATTATTATTATAATCATTATTATTATTTGCTGGTCCTGGGGTTTGAACTTGGGGCCTGGGCTCTGTCCCTGAGCTTCTTTTGCTTCTAGCACTCTACCACTTGAGCCACAGCTCTACACCTGAAATTTTTGATAATTTATAAAAGAAGAGTCTTAGGGACTTTCCTACTCAGGCTGGCTTTCAACCATGATCTTCTGATCTCAGCCTCCTTAATAGCTAGGATTACAAGCATGAGCCACTGGTGCCTGGCTTAAGAATTTATTTTTAAATTTACTGCTTTAGTGAAAACCTGAAACATATATTTCTTTAGAGGGGAGAAAGATGTTCTGAGGAAGTTGTCTTCTTCCTTCTTAAAGTGATGATATTATTTAGAGACCCTGATAACATTATACCAAAAAATACATAAAATGTGAGCAGATGATTTTTTTTTTTTGTCCATCGTGGGGCTTGAACTCTGAGCTTGGGTGCTGTCCCTGTGCTCTTCAGCTCAAGGCCAGTGCTCTACCACTTGAGAGCATTGGTGGTTTATTGGCGATAAGAGTCTTACGGACTTTTCTGCCTGGGCTGGCTTTGAATTGTGATCCTCACATCTCAGCCTCCTGAGTAGCTAGGATTACAGGCGTGAGCCACTGACACCCAGCTATGAGCAGATGATTTTAAGATTGATGGACACAGAACTATCCACGGACACATTTTAGAGTGGTATGAGGTTTTTATGCCTTGTAGGGTAACAGGAAAAGTCAGAGCAAAGAGTTCAGAAATTTGAGCTGGTGTCCAGGTCTGTTAGTATTTAGCTATTCAATCTTCCATGAGACACTTGTACCAGAACTCAGTTTTTACATCTATAAAATGGCTCTGTTCTAGGCCAGCCTTTTCCAGGTGCACCACCAAACACTAGTCTCTTGTAGAATATGAATCAATTTCTCTCTATGTAATATACATCTATATATTATCTATATCTATAAATGGATCTATATATAAATGGATATTTATGGATATGTATAGACATATGTATATATATTGTCTCCATATATGGACGGATATGTATCAATAATATATGTGTTATATATATATATACGCATTTCTTCTATGGTCAATGAGACACTGGGTTATGTCATACTAAACAAGTCTACTGTAGGATTTTAAAATGTTTAATATGAACATTGTGAATTCCCTAAACAGCACAACTCTTTTATTTACTTTTTACAAGGAGCCTCTGGAAATAACTCTCTGTGGAGTAATTTTAATATATGAGACACTCGTTGAGAGCTTTTTCCAACCTGGGATCAAGAACACAGTTGCACTCAAATCGGGAAGGGGTCAAGAAATCACCTCTAATTCTCCTTGGGGAGAAAAATCCTCTGAGAGCATGTCCCCATCAACCATGCCTTCGGTGCTGTGATCTAAGTGAAGGTGGTGTGTGTGTGTGTGTGTGTGTGTGTGTGTGTGTGTGTGTGTGTGAAAAGCTCCTCTAGAGTGAACTACCTGACAGACCCTTATAGTCTCTTAGCTATGCTCCCAGATCTATTTTTTTCTTTTAGACTCAGAAAGACCTCCTCTCCCAATACACACAAACAGGGTTACAATTTTTATCAGAAGTCTTGGGGATAGTTTCTCTCTTCTACCTGCCTAGTATTTTTTTTGGGGGGGGTCCGGTCATGGGCCTGAACTCTGGGTCTGGGCGCTATCCCTCAGCTCTTCAGCTCAAGGCTACTAGTGCTCTACCATTTGAGCCACAGCGCCACTTCTGGCTTTTTTTTCTGCTTATGTGGTGCTGAGGAACCGAACCCAGGGCCTCATGCATGCAAGGCAAGCACTCTACCACTGAGCCACCTTCCCAGCCCCTGCCTAGTATTTTTGTGACTATGGAAGACCCACACTGCAGGATATGCAGTTGGCCAGTCAACTTCTCCCAGTCTTCCTTTAAGTCCAGTCCCATCCTTTCCCTGTGTCCAGCATGCACTTTCTTCCCATTCCCTGGCCACTAAGGAAACAGCCCCATTTTATTTTCTAAATCTTTCCTTGAGTTCGGCTTCTACTGAGGTCCACCCCCCCTGACATTATTTACAGCAATGTCAATTCTTTTCTAGCTAGATTCTTCTCTCCAGGGAGCATTGTCCTGTCCAGTTTCTTATGCTGGAGAGACTTTGACCGTACACTGCAGGGGAGGAGAAGTTGCTTCGGATGACATGTTAGGGCCATGTGCATTTTGTTGGTGTATAACAATGCCTCTTCCCTCCCCTGCTTATATTCTGGTGCAGGTGCCTTAAGCTGTGCTGCCCAGATGTGGGCCCATTCAGCTCGGTCTGCTTGGCATGTCTCACGCTTGATATCCATTTATTAAAATCCTGGCCTAGTGGCTACCTCTTTATGAAGCCTTTCCATGCCTAGAGCTGTTAAGGATACTCCTTCCCATTACAGCATCATAGAGGAGCCTTCCTTCTTCTTTTACTTTTATCTTAGGTCTCCCCTACTGATCATGAGCTACTAGCACTGTAGTTCTCTTACCATTGCCTCCTTCCATTCATCTAATCTGGTGCCTGACATGGTAATGGTTGTTAGTGCATTTGCTCCATGCTGTGCTGAATTCTTTTCTTTCCTTATGGACTTTCTGTATGCTGGAACAGACTCCTTTCATTCATAATTATTGGGGAAGCATATTAGAAGTACTGATACCACAGGATAGAATAGAGTTGAGTAGAATAAAATGCAAACACTATAAGGATAGGAAAATAAAAGGCTATGAGAAACTCCAGGAAAAATAAACAGCTATACAACATGATAAATGTATTCATAGTACCTTTTCTGGTGCTATCATGAAAATTATTTATGCAGTCAAGATAACCTGTTTATTGATTTGAATAAAATGTATCACTTTAAATAAAACAATGAAATCACTTTAGTAAGAAAATGGCAGACGGTAGGGATGTTATAATGTGACCCTTAAATCCCATTATTATATCAGAAAGCCTAAATGTCTAAAACTAAGACTGTATTATCATTATGGTTTTTTTTTTTTTTTTTTTTGGGTCCAGTCGTGGGGCCTGAACTCTGGGCCTGGGCACTGTCCCTCAGCTCTTCAGCTCAAGGCTAGTGCTCTACCACTTGAGCCACAGCACCACTTCCGGTTTTTTTCTTTCTGCTTATGTGGTGCTGAGGAATCGAACCCAGGGCCTCATGCATGCAAGGCAAGCGCTCTACCACTGAGCCACTTTCCCAGCCCATGTATTATCATTATGTTGTTTGGAAAGATGGAAACAAATACCAGAAAAATAAACAACAAATAAATCAGAAGCAGTGCCTCCTGTAGTATAGGTCTAAGTTATGGACCAGGAAGGAACAGGAACTATTGATTTTTCTTTTCAAAATGAGCTGATTTCTTATTTATGTGTAAACATTTCCTTGTTAAAATTTCAAAAAAAGGATGCAAGTTTCTAGACTTCACTCAAATACTGAATTGCAACTTCTCAGGCTATGTATCTGGAATTTTTTTTATTTACAAATTCCCTGTATGATTCTGATTCTAGTGTGACATTGTATACAGCTGTGAAAATAAAAGTAGGTATTTATCAGATGGGAGTTTGGAAAGAGAGTAGACATTCCCAAGCAATTTGCCTATAGGAGTGGTATTTATAGTCTTCAAATATCTGGGATTACCTTGAGAATTATTTATTATTATTATTTTGCCAGTCCTTGGGGCTTGAACTCAAGGCCTGGGCACTGTCCCAGAGCTTCTTTCTCTCAAGGCTAGCACTCTACCACTTAAACCACTTCCAGCTTTTTCTGTTTATGTAATACTGAGGAATCCAACCCAGAGCTCCAGGGCTTCATGCATGCTAGGCAAGCACCCGACCACTATGCCACATTCTCAGCCCCATATCATGAGAACACTTGAAGATGTACCATCATGGATTTCCAACATATTCCTATGAATGTAGGAAGGGGATTTAAAGATAAGACAGCACTCCTTGAGAAGGAGAATTGGGAGCCCTTCCTTGCCACAGTCTAGTTCTAGGTACTGCTGTGCCATTTGTATCTCACTACTACTGACCTGGATGAGTGAACACATAAGTCCAGACTGCTTCTTGGTGGCTCCCTTTGGGGTGGAGTTACATACAGGGGTGTGCAGTGTCTCTGAGGGCTTATTCTTGTTACATTTTAATTATGCCTCACTAATAAGGCAATAAATAAAGGGTATGGGGATGGAAAAAGAAAAGGCAAATAAAAACTTTGGGGAAGGTGGGTGCTGGTGGTTCACACCTGTAATCCTAGCTATTCAGGAGTCTGAGATCTGAGGATCATGGTTCAAAGACAGTCTTATATTAGGTTAACCAGCAAAAATCTAGAAGTGGAGCTGTGGCTCAAGTGGTAGAATACTAAAGCAAAATAGCTCAGTGACAGCACCCAAGCCCTGAGTTCAAGTTCTACACACATAGAAACAAAACTTCAGGGAAAGTAAAAAGTTACACAAGAAATATATAACAGGCTTGAGATGTGGAAAGAAATAGACTCCTCTCCCAATGGGTTTTTGGTTTGCATGCAACAAGTGTGTAAGATTACATCCAGGCTAATACTGAGGGGTCAAATTCCTTTCTTTCCATTTCTTTGTTATGTGAGGACAGTCTTTTATGAAAGATGCATTCAAACACTAACTCTTCTGTTTTCTCTTTTCTCTTCCTTCACCACTTGCCTCACATCCTTATCCTCAAACTGTTGATGAACTGGGGTAGAATAATATGGTAGGAAAGGAAATGGGCTTACCAGCTTCAAAAGTTAAAACCTCCGTGCCTCAGTTGCTCTGTTTATGAGATGAGGAAATAATATTTACTGTGTAGAGTTAGTTCAAGTATTAACAGTATTATTAAATAGAGGTCATGCTTATGATAGATGTAGTAAGTGACCCAGTGATATAAAAGTCTCCTTTCCTCCCTCCCTCCCTCCCTCCCTCCCTCCTTCCTTCCTTCCTTCCTTCCTTCCTTCCTTCCTTCCTTCCTTCCTTCCTTCTTCCTTTCTTCCTTCCTTTCTTTCTTTCTTTTTCTTTCTTTCTTTTCTTCTTTCTCTTTCTTTCTTTCTCTTTCTTTCTTTTCTTCTTTCTTTCTCTTTCTTCTTTCTCTCTTTCTCTCTCTTCTTTCTCTTTCATTCCTTTTCTTCCCTCCCTCCCTCTCTTTCTTTCTCTCTTTTTTATTTCTCTCTCCCTTCCTCCCTCCCTCCCCCTCCCTCTCTCCCTTCCTCCCTCCCTTTCTTCCTCCCTTCCTTCCTTCCTTCCTTCCTTCCTTCCTTCCTTCCTTCCTTCCTTCCTTCCTTCCTTCCTTCCTTCCTTCCTTCCCAAGATCACTTAAAAGTCCAGGAAAAAATATAATAGCAAAAGCTAATGTTTAATAAACATAACTCTTCAGGCACCGCCCCCTGGTGTGTTATGTGACTTAGTTCTTTTACCTGCACACTAGCTCTAGGAGAAAAGCTCTGCTTTGGGTCTCAGTTTTTCTGGAGGAGAAAGCTGAGGCTCAGAGGTAAAGGGACTCAGGGACACACAGACATTCCATGGCAGAGCTGGGCTTCAAACCCAGGCAACTGGGCTCTAGCACCACCATTGTGACTACCACCCACACCGGTCACCTGTGGGCTGTGCTCACCTGTGCTGTTGAGGCTTTCCTCACAGGACTGCCAGAGCCCCGCGTGGAACCGGCGCTGGATGAACTTGTCATCTCCCATCTCCCAAATGTACTGCACAGCCTGGTCTGCGTTGTCACTCCTGCCACCACTGCCTCTGGCCCGGCTGAAGTGAATGCAGTTGGGCCCTCCCAGCGAGTCCTGGCACAGGGGCTTTGTGGTCCGCCGGGTCCCCTCACACCAGTGGCTGCTGCCCATAGCAGTGAGGGAGAAGGTGAGAGCCAGACAGACAGGGAGGAGGGTCAGTGCCTGCTGCTGCCTGGCCCTGTCCATGGCTGAATGAGGTAGACAGCGGCAGGATGAGCTGGGAGCCCCTCCTCTCTGCATCACGGTGCCCACTCCCCAGCCCTGCCATCTGGCGTCCCGACAGCTGGCCTTGCATTCCCCTGGGGAAGCTCGAGTGTGTGCCTGCATGTCATGTCCTGAAGGGGCACAGAGCTGAGACATAGCCTGCTCAATATGATTGGTCCTTCAGTGCTGCACGTTGGTTTATTATTAAAGTGTGGTAAAATGCATGCAACGTGAGAGTTTACCATCTTAACCTTAAGAGTACAGCCCGGTGCACTTTTCAGTTCAGCCCCAGGAACTGAAAAAAGCAAATGCTATGAGGATAGCAAAAAAAACTAATAAAAAACCAATTAGAAAAATACAACACTCTACAAGAAATTAATAAGCTTGAAGTTAGGAAAGAATGGAACGAGGAAGACTCTGCATGGCATTTGACATATGGAGGTCTTTAAGTTAATTTTTTTTTTACAGAAACATTAATTAAACAAAAGTATTTCATTGTGGTATTTCCAGACATGTGCATATTGTACTTTGATAAAATGCATCCCATTTTTACTCTTTCTGATCGGCGATTCCTCTCCTTTCCTTTTAAACAGTGGGTTTCCTTCAGGCTCTAATCACATGCTAAACAGTTCCTGAGGAACCCAGATTTAATCAGAGAGCCACCTGCCTGAGCAAGGACTCAGGGTTAATCTCACTTTGTCTATGCTTTCCTGCTGGTGAAATCTGAAGAAAAGATCTATGTTTTGTGTTCCCAATAGCCTTACATGCTGTGTGTGTGTGTGTGTGTGTGTGTGTGTGTGTGTGTGTGTGTGTGTGTGTGTGTGTGTGTGTGCTTTTGATTGCCTGCTCACTAAGAGGCTTTACCATATTGTGTCGCTAGATGGCATTCGTCCAACGGGGAGGGAAGTCATATTCAGAATCAACCCTTGTCCTTTCAGAAATGAACAAAGTGTTTGAGAAAACATCCAAAGAGATGAGATGGAATAGCCTTACTAAGCAGGTATTTTCTTTCTCAGCATACAACTTGGAGGCTCATCTTTAAAGCCTGGACCGGAGCTCATCACTTGGAGACATTCCTCCCTTCCCACCATTTCAGCCACTATCTGCTGTCCCAAACAAGAGGCTACCACGACTTCAGAGATCACATCGCCGTGCGAGTCCATTCTGTGGCTTTTGGCTCAGACAGAGCATTTTACTACTGAGGTTCACAATCTTGTTGTGTGGGGATTTACAGGGTTCTGTTAAATAATGTTCATCTTTTCCTCCCACCCCCTACCATTTAGAATTTCTCTCATCAGAAAAGTGAGCCAAGATGAGCTATGATTTGACTTAAAGGAGAAAAACGAAGGCGACAAAAAAAAAAGGAAGGAAGAAAGGAGGAAGAGAGGAAGAAGGGAAAGGAGGGAGGGAAGGAAGAGGCAAGAGGGAAGATGGGGAAGGGAATGAAAAGGAAAGAAAGGGAAGGAAATAGAAGGGAAAGGAAGAAGAAAGAAGACAAGACTGAAAGGAGTAAAGAAAATAGAAAAAGAAAATGAGGGAAGAAGGAAAAAAACAAGTAGATCTTGTCTCTTGCTTACCTGATCTTTTATGACTCTTCCAGTTTGGGTCTCCAGTTTGGGAAGCTGGAAAAAGTTGTAAGAGGATGCTGGGAGCTGGCCAGGGAGAGATGGGGGGAGGGAGGGCCTAGCAGAAGGGAGCCTATAATGACAGAAGCTTACCCTGAAAAGAGACATTTTCTCAAGTAGCCGTAGTCAGGTGAGTGGTCAGAAGACCTGTCTATTCTGGTTCTACCCTTCACTGGCTGTGTGGCTTTGGACCAGCACCCTCTCTTCTCTGAACCTGGATGTTTCTCAGCTGTCAAATGGAGAATGAAGGGTGGAGGTTCATGGGAGGAAATGAAATGGGACATTGGATGAAAAGATACTGCAAATGTGGACTAGGAGGAGAGGGCACTTGTATGTGGGTGAAAATTCCATGAAAAGCGTCCAGGTAGATGAGCAGTATTGTTTCTGTTTTAAATACGATGTGGTATTTAGAACAAGTAGATATTCAAGAGGAGTGGAGGCTAAACATTTTTTTCTCCATACTTTGTTTTGCTACTGTGTAGCCCAAACCTGAGTCATTAATTTGGGATTTTGCTTCATGATCTGGGCCAGGAGATCTGTCTGGAGGGCTGAGTGACACAGACTCCTGTTCTGCCAGCACCATTGGGGTCCACAGGTGGCCAGGCCTCTGTGGATGGTCCTAGCTCATCGTTTTTTTGGTGGGGTGGGTCGGTTGTGGGGCCTGAACTCTGGGCCTGGGCACTGTCCCTCAGCTCTTCACCTCAAGGCTAGCGCTCTACCACTTGAGCCACAGCTCTACTTCTGGCTTTTTCTGTTTCTGTGGTGCTGAGGAATTGAACCCAGGGCCTCACGCATGCAAGGCAATTGCTCTACCACTGAGCCACCTTCCCAGCCCCACCTAGCTCATCTTAGATGAGCTTAAGGCCTTAGGGGGGCAGAAAAAAAGCAACCCTTAAAGAGACATTGCCTGGGAATGGGTTCCAGCCCAACTCTTCTGCCAGCTAGCTGTTCAAACCCCAGTGAGTCTCACCTGAGCCCTGTGCACAAAGCAAACCACATTTTGGGTGGAAACCACTGAATGCCTGCCTTTTTCTTATGGGGAAATCCCAGGAAGCATAGCTGTGGTGGAGAAGATCTGGGAAAAAAAAATCTCCTTGCTTTTGGGAGGGGACAGCGGGGGATGAGAAAGTTGGAGACTGGGTAGGTCACTCTAGATGTGTTCAGACACTCAAACGGTGCAGAGGACTTGTGCAAACACTTGCTCTCTGGCTCTCTGGATGAGGAGGAATGCGGGAGGAGGCCGCCTGTGGTACATCGTGGACTGCTAGAAGCATGTGCCCACACTGGTGACAGGACTCCAGGAGGATGAGGTCCCAGCCAAGCTTGGAAATGCCTGGGAGAAGCCATGGGAGGACCCAGCCTGGGCTGCAGGCTCTGACCATGGGCATCAGGGATGCCCAGAGGACTGGCCATCTCTTCTCTCAAGGAAAGCAATTGTTCTGGGGCCCTGGGAGGCTCTTCCTTGCCCTGCTGCTGCTGGTTTCCATCAAACAAGTAAGAGCAGTTTTTCCTTTCTTCTATTTTTAATGTGATTAGTTGTGCATATCTGATTTACAAATGCCATTTAAGTCCCTGGGAGGGGCAATTTGAGAACTAGAAACCAGTATTAAGAAAATAACGATTGGCTACAACTTTAGCATCCAGAGGTAATGATATTTTTGGCCTGTTTTCCTTAGATCCTTTTCTATACGTTTGTTGGTTTACACAGCTGAAATGATAAAGCATGAAGTATTTTCTGTGCTGGCCCTGACATCATGTTATAGGCATTTTCCCATGTCTATGGGAACTCTGCATAGCATTTAAAATTGCTGCCTGGATCTGGGCACCTTTATCCTGTCTCAGGCTTGTTTATGTTTAATGGGCAGTTATCTATTCATTATTCTTCTTTTCCTTTGCCTTCCTCTATTCTTCCCTCTGTCCTTTCCCTCCCTCCCTCCCTCCCTCCCTCCTTCCCTCCCTCCCTCTCCCTCCCTCCCTTCCTTCCTTCCTTCTTTCCTTCCTTCCTTCTTTCCTTTCCTCCCTTTTTTCCTCCTTTCAATTTATTATATAAATCTAGAATGTTCAATGTTAAAAAAAAGATGCATAAAATTTAAGAAAGTTTAAGCATAAACCACAAATCACTTCAATTCCATCAGCTAGAGATCACCTTCATTCCTTATCTGGGGGCTTATTCTTCTTCTATACATTTTTCTACCAGTCATTTATATACAATTAAAAACAATAAATGTATTGTAGGCTCAAATTATAGTTGTTATTTAGTAATAAAACAAATTCTTTCTGATTTCATGCTTTCCGAAGCTCCATTTGGTAGGGTCTCTTGTTATCTCCATTTATAGATGGAGAAACTGAGTCCATGGATTTTTTTTCCTATATCATGATTTTTTCCCCTACATCAATAAATGGCAGAAAGTTGACAGTTTCCAGGATATGTTAATAGATTGTGTCTCTTATAGTTGGGCTTTCTAGTAGCTTACTTTTTTTTTCTTTTGTGCTAGTACTGGGTCTTGAACTCAGGGCCTGGGCACTCTGTCTTAGCATTTTACTCAAGTCTGATACTTTACACTTGAATCATACCTTAAGTTCTGGCTTTGTCTACTGGGGCTGGCTTTGAACTGGGATTCTCAGCTCATAGTTTCCTGAGTAGCTAGGATTACAGATGTGAGCCACTGGGGCCTGGCAGCTTGCTTTATTCTAATCCAAGGAAATCAGGTCTTTGTCTCTTTTCTTTCCAATGTCCCATTTTTAAAGGGGCTATAATGTGAAGGAACCCCAGTATTGCTCAGTTGAGAAAAGGAACTATTCCCAGGGAATAGTTGCTTCTTGGCTAAGGTCAGTTCCTGTTTGGCCCCAGAGATAGAGGCTTTACCAGGGACTAGGGAGGCAGGAAACTCCACTAACTGTCTGCATCACGATTCTCTCCACTGCCTTCGAGCCCTCATGGACATTAAGAGTGAGCCCCATCAGAGGTCTGGAAGAATTCCTTCTTTGTGCCCTACTCAGGGCCTGTGCTTGTCAGGCAGACACAGCCACTTGAGCCATACCCCAAGCTTTTTCGCTTTGTTCTTTTTTCAGATAGGGTCTTGTGCTTTTGTCTCAAGTAGCTTCAGACTTCGATCCTCCCGATTCTACCTCCTGCATATCCGGTACTGTAGGTATACACAACCATGACTCGCTTAGTCTGGAGGAATTCTTGCCGTGATGGCAGACCAGGAGATGCTCTCGTCTGTATCCACCCCAGGACTTCCATTGTTAGTATTGTGGGATCATGGCTGAGGACTGTCATCAGTGTTTCTATTTTCTGAATATTTTACCGTAAACCCAATGGATGTGTCTAGCTAATTGCTTCATTGTCATCTC